TGTGGGAAAGGGGGCTTGCTAGGAAGGAAGTGTGGCCTGGGAGAGTCAGGATGGAACCGTGGGCGCAAAGCCACAGCGTGAGCAGGGGGACTGGGTGGTGATGGACTGGGTCCTCGGGGGCCAAGGGACAGAGGGGTCTCATGTCAGGGGCGTCTGATGGCTGTGACGCTGGAGGCCACAGGGAGGGCAGTGCTGCGGGGTGGCTGCAGTGAGGCCAGGTCAGCAGAAGGGGAGGAACTGGGCAGGGTCGAGGAAGGCTCCCCTGTCTACGCCACCATTAAGCTTGGCAGCAAATGGAAGAATGGAGGTCTGGCAGCAGCTTGAGAAGCAAATGAGTCAAGGTGAGATATTTTCAAAGGACAAGGGGACATGTGACTTGATTTTCCTAGTTAAGGGGAAGAAGCCAGAGAAGAGGAGAGGGACACAGAAGAGAGAGGGCTGCCCAATGTTGTGCGCTGCAGACGGGCAGCAGGGGCGCCCCATCTCTGGGCAGGAGGGCAAGGGCGCCCCATCTCTGGGCAGGAGGGCAAGGGCGCCCCATCTCTGGGCGGGAGGGCAGGTGGTGACGTCTCCAGGAGGCCAGCCAGTGGCTTCTGTGTTGCTGCTCAAGTGTGAGGCGAGTTCTTCTCTGTAAGATCAGGCTGGGTTGTATCGGGGCCTCCAGAGGATCTGGCAGTGCAAAGCAGAGTGGGCGAGGGGCAGGCGGCAGCCCCTTGGCAGAGCTGAATGGTCAGCCTTTGCACTTACAGGAGTGAGTGTGTGAGTGAACGCGCCAGTGAGCGTGTCCCCAGGAGCAGTGTTGTTGCCACAATTATCCATGAGTAGCTCAAGAGGTTTGGTGTTTCTCTTATGCACTCTGGACCTCTGTGATTTTGGGTGTGGGAGACGGAGAGAAGTAGGTACTTAGCTAGCACAGAGTGAAGAAGTTGGGGCTTTACCTTCTTTTCGCTCTTTCTTTTGTGTTTGTAAAGTGATCTGCCAGAATGCTGAGGAGACGATCTGCTGTGTGAGGAAGGGCATCAGGTGGTCACTAGCTTCCTGGTTTGTCATTTTAGCGATCTGGGGCAGCTCTCAGTAAAGAGGCTGTTTCTGGGGAGAGACCGCTTACCGTAGAAGGTTCAACCCACCCTGGTCTCTGCTGCTTAAGCACAAGTCGTGTTCCACCTCCTTGCCTTCTGGTGTCACCTTAAACTTGCCTGGGGCGCGGCACATGGTGGGGGAAGTTCTGATGAGGAACTGGGCTGGACGTTCACCAGAGGGAGCGTTTACTTGCTTGGACTAATAAGCACATGAAGACAGTTTTGAATTTCCCAAGGGAATGCTTAGTACTCGGCGAGTACTGGGAGGTCTGGGATTTGTGCCTCTTGTCATGGAGTGGAACTTTCAGAGTGCTTCCGGTGAGAGCCAGGGGCTTCTCAGCATCTCCAGTTGCCTTGTCTTGGGTTGGCTCACTAAACAGTGAGGTGGGTGGAAAGACAGCTGTGTCAGGAAAGTGTCATGGCCCTTCTTTTGAGAACAGGGCATGGAATGATAATAAAGTGACCCGTGCTCTGCCTACAGTCCCGTGTGTAAATACCTTACCTGTGTTCCCGGGTCCCTGCGTCACCCTAACAGGAAGAGAACCAGACTCAAGGCTGGGAGTCTGGGTGGTTCTTCCACTAGGAGCTTTGTGACCATGACTGAGTCACTTAACCTTTCTGGTCCTCAGTGTCTTTATCTTCTAAGTAGAGATAATATTATCCATCTTGACTTTGGGTCTCCTTCATTGTATTATGAAGATGGACCACGGTAAAATACATGGGGATGTTTTATGATCTATTACACCCTAAAATTTGATCTTGTAACAATAAGGTCATTGGAACACCTCAAAATCATCATTATGACTAGACTTAGGAAGGTTGTTTGATCATACATATCCATCACCCAAATGGCCAGAATTAAGTTATTATTATAATTTTACCCAATAAAGTACTAAAAAGATCTTAGATTCAATGTTTTTGAGATTTCACTGTAATTTTTAAAGATGCAGTTTAGATTCTTTTGTAAGAATAATTCTCTTCAGTTTTTTATTTTTATTTACTCATTTTAGAGAGAGTGCATGTGTGTGCAAGCAGGGAGAGGGGTAGAGGGAGAAGGAGAGAGAATCTTGAGCAGACTCCGAGCTGAGCGCAGAGCCCGACACGGGGCTCGATGTTATGACCCTGAGATCTTGACCTGAGCTGAAACAAAGAGTTGGACATTTAACCAACTGCGCCACCCAGGTGCCCCTCCTGTTCAGTGTTTTAAAAAAGAAGTGGCTTGCTGTGTGTGACAGAATGCTTAGTGTCAAACTTGTAGTACTTTTCTAAAACTGTGGTAGCTTTCGTCTCTGAAACACATGATCTCTTCAACTTTATTTCCTTGCATGCTTACCGATAGTCCTGCCCAGGGGTGCAGTTCTGGGCTCTGTAAATTGCTTCAGGATGAAGCAGGTTGAATGCTGGTTTGTGAGGGCACTCAGCAGCCTCTGCAGCGCTGAGCTGCCCTTTTGTTCAGTCTCATGGCCACTAACACAACGTACTTCTTTCTGGTGTTCTTCTGTTTTCCAGTGATGGCATTTAATCCTGTCTTCTGCCTGAAGTTGAGCTCATGGGTGCGTTTTGATAAATGTTAATTTGCTGCTGCGCGGTCTGGACCAGGGGCTGATACATAGTCATTTCGCACCTGCTCTGTTTGGGTCTTGTCCAATGTCTCCTGCAAGTCTGTTTCCTGAGGGCAGGGCTAGTGTCCTACCCTCTGTGGTAACTTCCATGCGTGGTCACCATGCAGGGGTTGTGTAGTCAGCTCACAATTGCTGACTCAAAGCACGGACAAGTCTTTTCATGGAAAATAATCATTTCCTCTCAGATGAGTCCTCTATGGGGCCCTGTTTTTGGGGACTTTCAGGCTTTTTCTGTCTGGGATGATGAAGACTCAACCTCCATTTGAGTCTTAGTGTTCTTGTTGGAAGGTGGAGCCCATCCCGCATCCCCTCTGTTGACCTGGGTTCTGCCTTCTGAGCAGCTGGGGGTTTATCTCTGCAATGGTGTGGATGCTTCCTCACCAGTCATTTTTCTCTAACCAAGTGGTGTTCTAATTAAATAGGATTCAGGGGGTCTGTGAGTTTGCTGGTATTATGTGCAAAATTCTACTTGTATGTACGTACATTTTTGGCAGAAGGTATATAGACTCGAACTTATCAGTTTTGTGGAGAGGTCTGACTCCAGTCTAGTTTTGTTGAACAGGTTGTAGGCATATTGGCTAGAATGGATTTTTTCCTCCAGATCCCTAATAATGTAAATACTGTTCTGGACATGTATTTTCTTGCTGTTACTGAAATTTATTCTGGTAGTTGATGTTTTTGTGCCAGCAACCCGTTGTGAGGAGGGGTTGGGACATAGGGGCTATGGTTGCGTTTTCTGAGAGCATGACATGAAATTGTTGTCTCCAAATCTTTTGGCAGTGGACACTGAAAAGGTCTTGTTGTTCGCCCCAGTCGTGGAAACCAAATCAAAACCAGGCAGACTGAATGGTTAGGACAACTGCTCTACTGTTTCTCTAACCCCGTTTTATTTATTTTTTTTAGATTATTTATTTGTTTGAGAGAGAGAGCGAGCAGGAGAGAGCACACATGAGTGGGGAAAGGGGCAGAGGGAGAGGGCAAACTCTAAAGCAGGATGCACTGAGAGCTATCAGCCACCCATAATCCCAGAACATGCCCTCAGCTGAATGGAGCCATGTTGCCCTAAGTCACACCCCTCTCCAGGGACAGCCTGCTTCCAATGCCTGATTGATGTGGTTGGGGGCTGGGCAGTAGATGGGCCTGGCCATGATGGCTCCACTCTGAGGGACAATCCCAGCTCTGGCCTCCCTGTGGGCACTGCAGTTCCTCTGTGTCCTCCACACATTCCTGCTTCCTTGACGCCTTCACTCCTGCTTCCTCCATGATGTCATTCCCAAGAGTGTTCCCAGCAAGTCCGTGCACAAAGCTTGATGATTTACAGCTTGTTTCCCAGAGAACCTGATCATCTGAATGCTCAGCAGGTCCCTTTCTGTTGTTTATTGTTTGGCTTTTGATCATATGATTTTGACTTGTATGTCTAGTTATTTTTGATTGAGTGTTTGACATTGTAAGAAAAATTGTAGAAACTTTGGAGGTCTTTATCTTCCTCCAGAGGATTTACTGTTACTTCTGGGAGGTGGCTGGCCAGCCCAGGAGCATCAGCCTGCTCAGTTCACTTAAAATCCAGTCATGGACTAAGGTGACCTGGAGCGTTAGTCTGTGCCGGTTGACCTTCTAGTTCACCCTCACTCCTGGCCTCTGCCCTGTGGGATCCCAACCCTGAGTGTTAGTGCTTTGCTGGCCCCTTCTCCATGGTGGGCCCTGCACTCCGTGTTTGTACCCTCAGTCCATGAGCTTGTCAGAAGCGTTCCTCAGTGTCAGCCGCTAGCCACACTTTCCAGACTGACAGATGCCTCCAGCCGAAAGGGGGCCAGAGGTCAGGCTTGCCTCTCTAAGCTTCCCTCCCTTTCCAAGATCTTGGCATTCCTTCATTGCTGTGGTAGCTCCTTAAAGGAGGCCTTGAAACAAATTCAGAGTATTTTGTTTAGTTTGTGCAGTTGCCCTCTGCCAGAGACTTGGTTTAAGCCACCTGCTCTGCCATTGTGGGAACCATTTTCTGCTGTACTGTTAAAAGATGATTTGTTCCACCAGTCTATTTCTGTTGAAAATTACGGTTTTATTAAAAATGCCACTTACATCTTTATTGCTTATTTTTCATGCCCATATACACATTTGAATGGAATTGTGGTGTCACAAAGTATACAAAAGATGAAGACTTTGCATACACGTTTCTAAGTTGCCTAGTGGCTACTTTGTACTAATTGATACTCCAGCAGCAGTAGAAGCGGAGGTAACTGCCTTATAATCTCTGTTAAATCTAACATCTTAAATGTGTGTGCATTTTCCTTCCCTCCTGCAGGCACGTGCTCTAACACCTCAGACTGCAGAAACAGATGCCATTCGGTTTTTGGTTGGGACGCAGTCTCTTAAATATGATAATCAGGTAACTATTTTTGACAAATGTATATATGTTAATTACTAAGTCTATTCTTAGTTTTATAACCATTTTGCTCTTCATTTTTCAAGCAACATTTGAGAAAATTAATGCCACACAAACAAAATAAAACTTTCATTGGGATTTAAATATCCAACTGCATGTAATAATTGAATTCAATAATTTAAACTTACTCTGTGTAGGATCAATGTCATAGTTTTAGTTTGTGGTTATGTAGGGTTTGCTGTGTAAGTGATTGAGAAGCTATCCAGGGGACGTGGTCGGCACCACTGTTTCTACCTGGGGTGGTGGATGACCACTGTAAGTGCTCACAGCATTCTTTCCAGCTGAGCCTGGATGAAGCCATAATCCCGTTGAGCTCCAGGCTTTCACTGCCACGCACTCCAGGAGGGTCTCTTTTGGACACTCTCATAGAGAGAATGTTGGCTACTCACAGACCAGTGCTCAGTTCGTGGCTTGACACAAACGTATAACCTTGACCGAATGATTTAACCTTACTGGACTTCATGTTCCTCATCACCAAGATAACGATAAAGCCATCTGCTCGATGTGCCTCACAGGTGCTGAGGATGTTGTGAAGATGTTTACTGTCTTGGATCCTGGGGGAAATGTGCAAAAGGCCATGTGCCCTGGAGCAGGGCCTCTGCCCAGTTACCACTGTCTCACAGGGGGAGTGGCTTTAAAACAGATGTGGAAGAGTCTTTGGTGCTGGGTGTGGTGTAGTGACATTGCCTCTCTCCTGTTACGAGAGATTTTAAATTGACGTGGTCATTTTGGCAACTGATTTGGTGACCTATATGTAGAGCTTTATAAATAAATATTTGTATTATTTAACCTTTACTTCCTATACCCAAAACATAGGAAAACCTTTATTTATTTATTTATTTATTTATTTATTTATTTATTTTATTTATTTATTTATTTTAAAAAAGATTTTATTTACTTATTCGACAGAGAGAGACAGCGAGAGAGGGAACAAAACAGGGGGAGTGGGAGAGGAAGAAGCAGGCTTCCTGCTGAGCAGGGAGCCCGACGTGGGGCTCAATCCCAGGACCCTGGGACCATGACCTGAGGCCGAAGGCAGACGCCCAACAACTGAGCCACCCAGGAGCCCCTAGGAAGACCTTTATATACAAGGAATATTATTGTAATGGTACGAATAATTGTGAAACAGTTAGCACCAATCAGCTGTGCCATGTCAGGTTGGATGGAGCCGCGCTATCTATGGTGGCACATTCACGACTGGACCCGGTTGAACCTGGTTCCTCATGGTGGAGTGGTTGTCACTGACTGCTTGTTAAGTTATAAACTCATCAGTGTCATAATTTAAGAATCGTTAGATGATTCAGTGAAATGTTAAAATTGTATATACTGTGTGATCCCAGTAGTGTTAAAAAAGCAGATAATTTTGCAGTAGCTACAGACATTGAATCATTGGGTGTATAAGTGCAGCTGATAGAACATTACGTCAGTTATGCCCTGATTAGGACAGCAGAGGATTAAGTACAGACTTGAGTCTTACGTGCGGCAAAGACTAGGCGGAAACAGGTCACAAGGCCTCAAAATTTGAGCCACGGTTACCTTTGGGTGATGTGAGCATTTGTGAGGTAGATTGTTTTCCTAATTTTCACTTTTCTGAACGTGTGTGTGTCATTTTCCTGCTGGAAGAATGTCAGGTAAGAAGGATTTATTAAATGGTTTCCAGTGGGCATCTTGCGGGGAAGAGGAGCCTGTGCTCTATGGGGGCTGCTGTGCGGGTGAGAGAGGGGGGCGCCCGACGGGGTGCCTCACGGGGCTGCGTGGGTGGGGGGCGCCCACGTGGAGATGCTGTGGTGCAGGTGCAGCCCCGCGGGAGTGGCACTGGGCAGGAGTCTGAAGGCGGACTTGTGGCTTCCTTCCGTGTGGGGCTGACCACCGACCGCAGAAGCCGTCACAGGACAGGTGTCAGGGAGTTCTGCGGGGCCCTGTCTGCAGGTGTCGAAGCGCCTTACCTCATCCGCCTGCTTTTCGGTTCCGCTTAGTCCTGAGGCTGTCCCATGGAACTTTTTGGTGGAGGTATCAGTTTTTAACTCTGAGATTAGGGAAGAAATTATTATGATGTCATGAGGGATGCTCAGTGAATTAAAGGCCAGATGAGGCAATGAGGGCATCCACAAGTCAGACTTGGTTGTGACCCCAAGAGAGGAGCAGCCCCAGATGACCTGACGTGCTTTAATCGTCTTTAAATCCTGTTGGAGCAAGGTCTCTGCAGGCTCCGTGAGGAGCACTGTGCAGGGAGTTGGGACTCCCCGGGTTGTGAGGTCAGCGTCCTGCAGCACACTGCCGATTACGGCTCTGTATGTCCTGTTGCATCAATGTAGTTTCGTGACACAGACAGTCCTGGTTTCCAGAATACAGCCATCCGTCCTTGGACCTAGTGAAATGAATGACTTTTGTCCTTAAGAGTCAGTCTTAGATCAATGAGATACCACCTCACACCAGTCAGAATGGCTAAAATTAACAAGTCAGGAAACGACAGACGTTGGCGGGGATGCGGAGAAATGGGAACCCTCCTACACTGTTGGTGGGAATGCCAGCTGGTGCAGCCACTCTGGAAAACAGTATGGAGGTTCCTCAAACAGTTGAAAATAGAGCTACCATACGATCCAGCAATTGCACTACTGGGTATTTACCCCAGAGATACAAATGTAGGGATCCGAAGGGGTACGTGCACCCCGATGTTTATAGCAGCAGTGTCCACAATAGCCAAACTGTGGAAAGAGCCAAGATGTCCATCGACAGATGAATGGATAAAGAAGTGGTATATATATACAATGGAATATTATGCAGCCATCAAAAGGAATGAGATCTTGCCATTTGCAACGACGTGGATGGAACTGGAGGATGTTATGCTGAATGAAATAAGTCAATCAGAGAAAGACATGTATCATATGACTTCACTGATATGAGGAATTCTTAATCTCAGGAAACAAACTGAGGGTTGCTGGAGTGGTGGGGGGTGGGAGGGATGGGGGCTGGGTGATAGACACTGGGGAGGTTTATGTGCTATGGTGAGCGCTGTGAATTGTGCAAGACTGTTGAATCGCAGACCTGTACCTCTGAAACAAATAATGAAATACATGTTAAGAAAAAAAAAGATAGCAGGAGGGGAAGAATGGAGGGGGGGGAACTGGAGGGGGAGAAGAACCATGAGAGATGATGGACTCTGAGAAACAAACTGAGGGTTCTAGAAGGGAGGGGGTGGGGGATGTGTTAGCCTGATGATGGGTATTAAAGAGGGTACGTATTGAATGGAGCACTGGGTGTTATGCACAAACAATGAATCATGGATATGGTGATTAACATAACAATAAAAGAAGAGTCAAGCTTAGAAACCCAGTTTTCCAGTAGGGCACAGAGAAGGTATATATTTAACTTAAATTTTATGGCATCAAGGATGTAGCTGTCTGGGAACCTGTCCTGAATGTCCAGTATATGACGGCTGCTTGGGTGCTGTGCTTACAGACCCTGGTGCCACCTGCTGTCCCCTTCCTTTCAGAGCTTTCTTGTCCCACCACTGGGGAAGGCTGCAGCCATGGCCAAATCAAAGGGTGGGGGTGAGTCTGCTAGTCTCCTGGTTCCACGCCTCGCCTGCAGCGGCCTCTCGTGGGTGACTCCGCATGATAGGTATCAAAGAGTCCCTGTTTCTGGGAAAGCGTGTGATGTTGTTGGGAGTGTGTGCATGCATGCACTCATCCAACAAACGCGGATGTTGTGTGTTAGTGGCACCCTCCCGCGGCGTGGTGTGGGGTTTGTGCTCGAGCTGTGTGCTCAGTGAATTGGTGGGGCAGACGCGGGCCACGGGCAGTCACGGTTCTGAGACGCAGTCAGAGGGAGGGCCAGAGCCTGAGCTCGCGCCCCTGCACACCCAACCCGCGTGTTCCCATCACACATGCCGAGCTCACACGTCCCATGCACGTGCCTCCGCTATGCAATGTATGTTTCTGTCCTGTGTGATGGGCCTGGCTCCCCTCCCACGCAGCACGTTCTCTCCCATGCGGGATGTGTGTGTGCAGCGGCTCGCTGCCAGCCAGGCGGCGCCAAGAGGATGCCCCCAGAGGATGCCCCTGGGCGGCGTGAGCACAGCATTCGCCATGCCCACTGCCCTCCAGAAGCAGTACGGTTGTTCCTGTTTCCCACTGATGTTATTATTATTAATTTTAAAGATTATTTGAGAGAGAGAGAGCCCGCGTCGGGAGGGAGGGGCAGAGGGAGAGAGAGAATCTTCAGCAGACTCCCCACTGAATATGGAACCCATCGGGGACTCGATCCCACGACCCTCAGATTGTGACCTGAGCCCAAGCCAAGAGTCGGAGGCTCATCCGACTGAGCCAGCCAGGTGTCCCGTCTGCCGATGTTCTCATTAGAACACGGTTATGGAGTGCATTTGTAAGTGGTGAAAACTGGCTCCCACACACCCTGAATCCTGTAGCTCCTCCCTGCAGCCCCTCCCTGCTTGTTTGCTGACAGTGAGGGTGACCTGCGCTCCAGGGGTCTTTGAGCGGCTGTGAGGATGGGGATTCCCGGCTCTGTGCCTCCACATTGAACAGCAGGTCTGTGTAGGGTGCTGGCAGCTGTGCCCGCAGCACCCACTCGACTGCGCGCTCCCCGCGGGCACAGCCAGGTGCTGGGACAGGCCAGGAAGGTGGGTCCTGTGCCCCTGCCCGTTGACTGCGGGTCAGAGAGGCACATACCTGCAGGATGGGGAAGCGGGGTGCCACTCAGGGCCAGGTGGGGGCGGTTCCCACACCTGCGACCTCAATGGACAGGTGTTGTTGATCCCATTTCTAAGCAGGTAGGGGGTTGGTCCTAAGCAGTTGTGAGGTTTTCCGCAGGTGATTGAGCTGGAATAGGGCAGAAACACAGCTGCTCTCCTCACCGCCCTCCCCTCCCGCTTCCACCTGTAGCACGGGGTGGTAGGGGTCTGTGTCCTAAAGGCATCCTGCACG